AACGTACGAAATTCTCTTTGTAAATTAAATCATTATTTTCTCGTAAAAAATTTATCACCTCTTCTCACAATTTCTCGTTAACAAATAAAAAAATGGATCTTCAACCAAACGTTGCGGCTAGTGTCTATCTAGCAACAACATTTTTATGTATAGCAATAGCACTTGCAATTCCATATCAATTCTTTCAAATCCTTCGATATACACGACGTCAGAAGAACCCGCAGTTAATCGATCTCCCTACAGTATCACGAGAAAAAATAACACCAGAAACAAGTAATGATTACTCAATGTCAACTGCTTTTAATGTTGCAGTTCCAGAAGTCAAAAAAATTCGTTGGGGATTAATGGTTATTGCACATAAAATATGGAACTATGGAATTTTTGTGTTTGGTTTTGGAGATCAAAGCGTTGGGGAAATTGCAATCTTCTTGGCGTATATTGTGTTGAATCTGACCTTTGTTCATATATCATTTCAATCGGGTGAAAGTATAAATACCGATTTCGCGGATAGGACCGCTTATTTGGCACTAGCGAATTCAGCGTTTGTTTTTCCATTAGCCACAAGAAATTCGGTATTTTTAACGTTATTGGGTGTGCCATTTGAACGTGTAATCAAATATCATCGATGGGTGGGTCGAATGATTTTCTTCATGATTGCATTTCATGGAGCATCTCATATACAAGATCAATACAAATCCACAAATTCAGTATATGACACTCTTTTTGGCGACAAAAAATACTTTAACGGATTCTTGGCATTCATGTCTCTGGTAGTGATAATGTTAACTTCTCACTCGGTTGTTCGTCGTTTCGCTTTTGAAGTATTCTATTGGTCGCATTTCATTTTTATTTTCTTTGTAATTTTCGGTATTTTACATACTGAGTGGTTCACATCATTTGTGCTATTTGGAATTATATTGTACATTATCGACCGTTTTGTGCGCGCTTTTCTTTCTTTCCGCGCGAGAAAAGTCATATCGATCGATGCAATACAAACGGGAGTGACACGCGTTGTTTTCGAGTCTAATTTCTTTTACGAGGCTGGACAATACGTGTTTGTTAGCTTCCCGAATTTGGGGTCTCCGTTATTATCTTTTCTGAGGTGGCATCCAGTTTCGTTGTCTTCAGCTCCGAGTGCAAGTGATGGATCGGATCAGGCGACTTTTCATTTGAAGTGCGCAGGCGGATTCACGAAAAGTTTATATGAGAGAGCACAAAATTTGAATGTTTCTTTAAAGTTAAAGGTTGATGGCCCATACGGAAAAACCAGTATTGATTTCATGGAATATCAGACAGTGCTGCTGGTGGGTGGTGGAATTGGAATTACGCCAATAATTAGTTTGTTACGTGATTTGGTGGACCGTCAGATTACTGGTTTTCCCCTTGTTACTCAATCTATTTATTTCGTTTGGGTTATCCCTGATCTTGGTGAGTATTATTCTTTTTATATGCAAATTATGCGCCTGAACTTATTCCGTTTTATTAACAAACCATTTTCACTACCAGACTCATATGCATGGTTCTCGAGTGAATTCGCCGAACTTAGAAACCGCGCCTCAGCGTCATTAGCAGCTACAAAATACCTGCTTGACATCAAAATATTTCTCACAAAATCAGAGACCACTCCGTCTTCGATCTTTTTCAAAGGTCGACCGGACTTCGAACATCTTCTACACAAAATTAAGGATTTCCATGGGTCCGGAGATATTGCAGTTGGTGCTTGTGGTCCTACACCGATGATTCGGGAGATTAGAAAGGCGGCGGTTAACCGGAGCGATGCTATGGGGTTGATTAAAGTTCACACAGAGACTTTTGAACTATAGTCTAAAATTTTTAGTTTCTGGAAATGAAGTGAAGACTGACGCGGGGTTTTTAAGAGACATCTGAAATTTGAGATAGCACAAAAAGATAAAATGATAATATATGTATTTTACATACCGATAGAAAAATGTGAAGCATAACTCTGTGTATATATATATGTATATTCACTAAATATTATAATGAAATAATTATACGTTGTCATAACAAATCAACGCAATATGTATTTGAAATCGAAGTTTAATAAATATTATTTATATAACTGGCTAAAAATATTACTGAAAATATAGTAGAAGCATAACTCTTTTAAAAAACGGTTATGATTACTATTCCAAATTGATTTAACATTATTAACTTTGGGATAAAATCTAATGTTTTACTTTTTAATCATGCCATAGTTCAAGAAAATTGTTTTTTTAACCAACCTAACAAACTATAATAATAACAAAACTTTTCGATAATAAACAGGAATCCTATTATTTGATAACTGTGTTCTTTTTCAGTAAATACTCTTAGAATTTCAAGAAATATAGTTTTACATAATTTCCAAATAAGGTATTATATGCAAATTCTTTTGTATGGAAAAAATAATGTAATTTTGCATGATAAAATCCCGCCAATCAAAAATAAAACAAGTGTTATTTACGATGCTGAAAATTTGGCTATTATGATGCATGGCATCTATACTTATAAAACTATTTGATGTAATTTTGAACTCTATCTAGTCTTTGAAATTTGATAATTTTAATTAAATCATGAAAATACTATCAGGTTTTTTCTATTAATTATCAGATATAGTTTGTTAGTTTGTTTATTATATTTGTTAATGAGTTCTTCAAGAGTTTTTCTAATTTTAATAATATTCTTTTAGATTGACAATTTAATTTATTTAATTACTTAGTA